TTTCTACATACATAAATAATAATTGTTGCAGAAGCCAAAGAGAAACTAAACCATATTCCTGATGGTAGTGAATTTTTTATGTCAGAAATCTGGTAGAAGTGGGTTAAATAGTAGCCATCACAGCCATGAGGACATATGCTTGAAGTCTCATATGTAGGTTAAAGAAATTTATTCTAATGTGAAGCTCGTGACATTTCCAATTATTCTAGGCCTTGTCAAAGAAAGTTATACTAGAGTAATGAAATTAAAGTACCAATGACATTTGAAGATAATATTCATTTGGCATTGGGCTCTATCCAAACAAGCTTTAAAATTACATATCTGTCCCAATATATATGTTTGGTTATATCATCAAAAGTTGACTTTAATGAGAACATTCCTGAACAAGAATCATGAATAAGTCAAATTTTCCAACTAGTGTAATTATAAACAGAGAATTATGGAATTACATATTGAGGAAAATATCACAACATAAAAGGTTTGCTAATGCAACCGTAAGAGTAAATTGTGCATTGTGACATTATGTCCCAATTGAAACCTATATGGTGGCTAGTCTTGTTACTTGAATTTCTCAGGATACATTCCACAGAGTATTGGTGCTGACATGGTTCATTCTACTATTGGTAGACTATATTTTTGAACTTACTCTATCAATTCAGTCTGACCATTCTGTACCAATTGCTTGGTTTGATGATTATTCTCTTTCATGTTTAAGTTGTTCTATATAATTACTATCTTTAGAATTGTATATTAGTTTCCACTCTATTATAACATTTATTTCATGTTTTTGCTTGCCAATAGAAATTGATTTCCCTGTTGTTGGTAGTTTTAGATAATCTCTTAATAGTTGTCGATATGTTTAGAAAGTTAGATATGCATAGTTTTGGATTGTTTAAACTTTTTGTACAGTTTAGAACTTAAGGATATAGTTTTCGAATGTTTGGAATGTATAGACAATTGTTGAATGTTTATAATTTATGGATATAGTTTCTTTCTGATGTTTCAAATAATATTTTGGCGGTTGATCGATGTTTTGTGATCCTTGTTTGTAATATTTGTTAGATTGTACAAAATTGGTCAAATGGAACCTGCTGAATTTAAAAATAAAAATAAAAAACTGCATATTCTACGACAGACATAATAAGTCGTTGTATTACATATTTTACGGCAGGCAATCAACGTCGCTATTTGTCTCACCAATTAACGATGTGCAAAAGTAGCTGTAGAAAACATAACGACGCACAAAATTTGCCGTTAAATAGTTTTTAACGGCGTACTATAGCATGTCGTAGAAAAAGTAACAACGACGCACAAAATCTACCGTTAAATAGTTTTTAACAGCGTACATAGCATGTCGTTGAAAGTAAATGACTTTCCATGACTAGTCATAATATGACGCGCTGCACGTCTTACACGCCGTAAAAACCCTTTTTTATTGTAGTGTCCCCCTCATAATGTGTATTGGTTAGGTGCAAGCTTGGATTTGAGGAACATATAGCTCCATCGTAACAAATTGGAACTCAACCGGTACCTTATACAGTGGTGAATACCAGCATTGTAGATTTTGACTTTACTGGCATTCTATCTGGATTGTATTTTTTTCATAAATAACTTTTTCCAAGTTTTTAGTTGTAATAACTTTCACATATGACTCTAATTTTGAAACTCAAATGGAATTCCTGATTAAACTACAACGCTATACTGTATGAATTCTTGTCATTGCTATTCCTAGAGTTCACGTTACACTTTTATGCTATTTTTTTTTTCTTTTTTTTCTTTTTTTTTTTTGCAATGGTAAAAAGATGGTCGCCAAAAATCATGTTAGTGTTTTTCTTTGTTTTTTGTGACGGCAAAATAGCAGTCGCCATAAGTAGTTTAGGTGGTCGTGAATAATTTGCGGCCGTTGCTTTGCCGTCACAAAAAGTATTTTCCACCTCCACATTCGCGACCCCCATTTGCCGTCGCATGGGTTTTCGCAAAAGGTTTTTTGCGATTGTTTTTTATTATTATTTGTGACGGTTTATAGCGGTCGCAAAAAGTGCTTTTTAGTAGTGTTCTTTGGTATCAAAGAATACCAAGTGGCCAAATAAGATGAGGACATGTGTCCCTGAGAATCACATGTAATATTCTGCCGTGTCCCTTTACAAGTATAATGTACTATCTGTTTGGCATAGGTGCCTCAACATATGCCGCTATATCTATTTGGTACATACCTTGGCAACTTCAATTTTGCACCTCAGCAAGTGCACTTGCAGAAGTAGTACTTGTCGCTACACCTACCTTCTCAGTTTAGTTTGCCCAAGATATGCATTCTCTGGATTTTCATAGCATGTTATCAACCATGTTTATATTTACCTCAGGGACTCCTCCACCCTTAACCATCTAACCACAAACTCCCCAACTTTCCAAGGTGCGAGCTACAACAAGAGTTGTGTCTCATACCAAGCGTAAGGAGGCTTCCTTGGTATAAGGAGTCCCTTGCTTTCAGGCTGCCTTACTCCCATCTTCGAAGGTCACCGTAGTATACTAGTATTTTTGGCCTGCTATATGCTCTAACCAATAAGCATCGGTTTCTGCTATCAGTGCCAAGCTTTTGAGCTTCGAGACCTGCTATTAGTACCAAGCCAATAATTTTTTGGGGCTCACTATCAATGCCAAGCATTAGCTTCTACTTGTGAAGTGGAAGCCTCTCTTAAAAGATGTTATCATCCATGTAGAATCTTTCTTTGGTAGGTAGTCACAACGGTTGTAATTATTACGACAACTATTTCCTTCGACAAATGCAAATGGCAACGCTGAGGTAAAGAGTCTCAACAACTTGAGCGCTAAAAGTGTTGCCTCAGCAAGTTAGTTGCAGCGGTTATAGTTGTTGCGATATAGTTTTCGAATGTTTGGAATGTATAGAC